AATGATCAGAGCCTCGTAGCTGTGCGGGAGACAATGTCCTGATGCAAGTGATTTCTGGTATTGGTTGAAGGATAGAAATCAAGTTTCATCCTGAGCCACTCCACAGCTGCCCCCAAATCCCCCCCTCCCCACTGTTCTTGAGGTCCTGATTAAAATGTTCCCCAAGAAACTTCCAGCATGGTTCCAGGTCCATGATACCAATAGGAAGTCGTCTAAAAGGTCATTTAAAAGTGCACAAGTTTCATGGATATTTTCTAATGTGCACTCAACGTTGCCCAGCTATCAACGTTGCTTTCCTGGAATGTTTGAGATGCCCCTGCCAATGACTCCTTCACTCCCTCCCCTCTCCCTAAGCTCCCTTCCCCCCTGCTTCCCCCACAGGGGATCTTGCCTCACATTTTACTGAGAAAATCTAAGCAATCTGCCAGGAGTGCCTTCCTCTTCCCACTACCAAGGGCACAGCCGACACCTCTATGCTCATGCGCTGAGTCTTCCTGGTACTGACACCTGGTTCATGCTTCCTACAAAGGCCATCCCTGCTGCTCTCCATCCCTGCTCCTCTCGCCTCCTCAAGTTCTGTCCTTCTACATGACCCCCTTGGTCTGCTCCATCAGGCACTCTCTCTGCAGTAGACCATAAACTAGGAACCTCCATGACCCTCTGCCGTCCTAGCCGTGCCCACATTCCACTGCTCCATGCTCAGCACAAGCTCTGGAATGAAAAAGGGGTCTGCAGTTGCTGCCTCTCTTCTCCACTTCCCCCCCCCCACAATGATGCTTCCATCCTCAGCCCCACACTCAGTGTCTCCAGGTGCTATCCATGCCTCCAGGCAGGGGGCCCAGGGATCACTGCCCTCACCTAATCTTCCTTATGGTCTCTGCGGCCTGCAACACACCGAACTCCTCCCTCCTCCCTAAAACACTGTCTTCTCTAGGCTCCCTGACTGGCTCCTCCTCTAGACCCAAGAGTGTGCCCAGGGCTGTACCTTCTCTATGGCGACCTCATCCAGCCCATGGCTGTCCATGTCATGTACCCGATGATGGCTGCCCAGCACTCACACCTGACTGCCTTCCTCCTGGACACAGAACAGGCATCTCACACTCTTCATTTTCCCCTTCCCAAGCCTTCTATTGCAGGAAACAGTGCCACTGTTTAACTGGCCCCAACACCAGGGCCATCCTCACATCCTCCCCCAATGCCAGGGCCGTCCTCACATCCTCCCTCAACACCAGGGCCATCCTCACATCCTCCCTCAACACCAGGGCCATCCTCACATCCTCCCTCAATGCCAGGGCCGTCCTCACATCCTCCCTCAACACCAGGGCCGTCCTCACATCCCCCCTCGAGGAGATCCAAATCCATCCACCAGGAAGGCCTAGGGACTTGCCCTCCAAACCTTCCTTAGACCCGCCCTGCACCAGGCAGCCCCGCAGGGACTGCGGCAGTAAACTCCTGACCTGTCCCTCGCCACCCCTGCAGTCTGTCCTTGGGCAGCGTCACTCCTCACGTAGAAGCCTCTGCCTCTGCTTATCTGTCACTTGGGCTCACAGAACGAACACCGGCAAGAAACAGAACTTCAACATTTCACAGCCCTCTTTTCGTTTCTCAAGTCAGGAGAAATTAAACATTAAAATTGTTAATGGTCTTATTGTTAAGAATCTCTGATAACCTGTGTCCACGTGACTGAGATAGCACCATTTTTCTTTCTGCCAGAGTGACTAGTCCCCGAAACCAGAGTGCCAGGCCCTCTGGCCTGGATGCCCCAACAGCGGTCCCCACACAAGAGGAGCAGAAAGGGAGGACCGTGCTCAGAGCTGGCAAAGCCACGGCGGGCATTTGATGAGCAGTTTTATTTACTGTGCCCAACGGCCAAAACAATGGGGGAGAAGAAACCAGGCCGTACAGAAAAGGGCTCTTACATGTTGAAAAGTTAGGAACGCTGAAATGTTTTCAGTAGAGAACATTATGATTCACCTCTTATAGGCTGTGGTGACCTTAAGATAACTGTGTATCTGTTCATTTAGTTAAAAACAAGAGCAGCGCATGGCATAAAAATATATAAGTACTGCCAGACGTTATAAACTAAAGTTACCCCAACACTAATTGCAGTGAGCGCTTGAGAATGATTTCGTCCATCATCAGCAAACATATGCCTCCTTTCCGAGTACCTCTCTGGGGTCGCTCCACACAGGAAGCGCTCAACCTGCCTTGGCACTGATGCTGTGATTCTGTAACGTCTCCAGACGGCACATGCCACGGTCTTGCTAACCGCTGTACACTGTCCTGTCACAGGCATATGAACTAGGCCCGGCTGGTAGACAGTTACCAGCTTTCCATTTCTTGATTATTAAAAACAATGATGCACACAGCCCTGTGTGTGTGTGTGTGTGTGTCCTTATGAGTCTACCTACTGGATAAGTTCCCAGCAGTAAAACTGTCAGGACAAAGACACATATATTTTAAACTTGGGTGGATACAGCTAAACTGCCTTCCAAAGTGGCTGCTCCAATTTAATATTTTCTATTGATTAGAAAGACAGAGAAGGGGGGAGAGAAACTTCAATTTGCTGTTTCGCTTATTTATTCATTCATTGGTTGATTCTTATATGTGCCCTTCTGCAGATCGAATCCACAACCTTGATGTATTGGACGGTGCCCTAACCACTGAACTTCCCGGCCAGGGGAGGCTGTTCCAATTTATACTCGCAACACCACAGCAGCTGGCCTCACACCTTGATTACTGAGGACAGATTTTCACCTCTTCTGAGAGAGAGATTGAGTTTCTTCTTTCATATATAGCTATATCTATATATTCATCTACATGTCTATACCAGCCGTGGGCAAACTACGGCCCGCGGGGCCGGATCCGGCCCGTTTGAAATGAATAAAACTAAAAAAAAAAAAGACCGTACCCTTTTATGTAATGATGTTTACTTTGAATTTATATTAGTTCACACAAACACTCCATCCATGCTTTTGTTCCGGCCCTCTGGTCCAGTTTAAGAACCCATTGTGGCCCTCGAGTCTAAAAGTTTGCCCACCCCTGGCCTATACCTATATATCTATAACTATAGATCTATGTATGTCTCCATATTCATATTTACATTTATCCTGCCAGGATAAACAGATACACAAACATACAGATCAACAGACAGGGAGAGAGACAGATATATAAAAACAGAGATCATTTTTGCTTATAGATTTTGGCCATCTGTTTTGGGGCATTCTAATTCCTGGAACTTGAGGAATTAGCACTCTATCTGTCATGCATATTGCCAACTGTTTTTCCTAATGCGCTGGTTTTGAATTTGTTTCTGGAATTCTTTCCAAACATCAAGCTTGTGTGGTTTTTATTTTGTCGCTGTCAAATGTGTCAATCTTTTCCTTTGTGGCTCTTGGGGTTTGTGCTGTACTTAGCGAGGCCTTTCTCACTGCGAGACTACAGATAGATTCACTGTAGGGACTTTTTAAAACAAAATTTCAGGGAAGTAAAACCAAGGGTCTGGCAACCCCAAGCTTCCTCAAATACAACAGTGGCCAAATGCATATTTATACGCTGCTTCAGGCAACACGTGACAGAGTCCACTTGCACTGCTGCCGTTCCCAGGGCAGGCACAAGGAACCGCTGCTCAGCTGCACGATCGGAAATGCCTCAGACCCTGGCTGCTCAAACACACCCATCTGCACCCATTTCCTGGGCATGTCCATGGTTATATTTCCGTGGCACTGGGGAGATGGGTGAAGCCATGACACCTGAGAGGCACACATGTTTAAGATGACCACTCGAGGCACTGTATAAAGTGTGCAAGGCCGCCCTGGCCAGTGTGGCTCCGTGGATAGAACGTTAGCCTGCGGACCAGGGTCTTGGGTTCGATTCTGGGTCAAGGGCATATATCACAGTTGCAGATTCCTCCCCAGCCCGGGCCCTGGTCAGGGCTCACACAGGAGACAACCAATCACTGTGTTTCTCTCACATCGATATTTCTCTGTCTTTCCCTCTCTCTTCCACTCTCTCTAAAATCAATGGAAAAATATCCTCGGGTGAGGATTAACAAAAAATAAAATAAAATAAAATAAAAATAAAGTGTGCAATGCAGAGGAGGGCCACCAGCCAGGTGTAAGGGCTTTTATAAGAATAACAGTGCAGGTTGTTTTTATAGATCTTCTCTTATGAATCCCCTATTTTGCTAGGAACAATCAGAAAGGGTTGTTCTATGATAGAGGAAGACAGAAAACAAATTCATCAACCAAAGCCAACACAAGCAGCACCTCTGATAGTTTTGTAAAACCCAGTACAGCTGTACGTGTGTACGCATGTGCATGTGCATGTCCTTGTCTCGCTACCGAGAGCCAAGACAGATGAAAGGGCTGGAAAAGCTGGTGTAACACCAGCTGCGGGTTCTTTATGACGCTCCCTAACACTTCCTAGCCAATGTGATGGAGACAGTTATTTTTAACCTATCTTAGTACACATGTAAAAAGTGAAAGAGCTAGCATATGCTGAGCCATATTTTCCAGTTAAACACAAAATAAAAAAATCCACCAGCAACAAGTGAACTTTACAAATTCAAAATATCTCACTTATTATACAGTAATTCCCAATTCTAGACACTGTGGCTACAGCCAAACTATTAAAGCGCTCTCTTAAAATGCAGATTCCTGGACCCCACTCCTATACCTCGTAATTCAGCTTCTTATTAGAAGGCCAGATATTGGCATTTAAAAAATGTTTTTTATTGATTTATGAGAGAAAGGGAGAGGCAGAGAGAGAAATATCACTGATGAAAGAGAATCATTGACCGGCTGCCTCCTGCACGCCCCCTACTGGCGATCGAGCCTACCACCCGGGCATGTGCCCTGACCTGGAATCGAACCATAACCTCCTGTTTCATAGTTCGACACTCAAACACGGGGCCACACGCGCCAGGTGACATCAGGATGTTTAACGCTCCTCCAGTGATTCCTGTTTGGGGAGCACTGCCCTTTAGGGAATGTGAGCCAGTCTTCTGCAGGTGGACTCCCTCTTATAACACTGCCTTGCGCACGGGCTTTCCACCCGTCCCTGACCATGCTGGGACTGCCCGGGTCCCTGCCTGGGCAGGACAAGCCCCACCTCACTGCCAGGGCCAGGCCGTGCCACAGCGTCTGTACGCTCGCGCTCAGGGTGCTGGGTAATCCCCCTCTGCCCAGCACCTAGCCTCCTCTCAAGGACTGGCTTCGCCTGTGGAAACTGGTTCATGAGCACATGGCAATAAAAAAGAAAACGGACTTCTTCTTTGGCCTAGAGAAGGCCTAGATTTAATAAATAAACACAAAGAAACTGAGCCTCTCTAATTCTAAGATGAAATAACAAGCAAGATGTACTCTTTCTGCCCAGCAAGAAAATGAGCAGCTTTAGCAGGATAAACAGAAACTATAAAAACCAAGGGAAACTGTGGTCTTGAAAGGTCAAATTAGCATGAATTCTTGCTGACTAAAGTAAGAAGATCAATGCTACGTCAGGCAAAAATGTCTCAGCTCATCATGCAGCCGCTGAAAAATGAGTCTAAATTATAATTACCATTAAGTGGAAAAGAAGGCTTCGAAAAGCAGTCCAGCCAACTCCGGCCACGCGCTCTGTTGAGCTCATCACTGGGTTTAGGTTCAAGATGTGATTGGGTAGAATGTTTAGGGGATTTTTAAGCCTCTCTAATATAATTTCCAACAAGAAAAATCTGTGGTAGTTACAGTCCCCACAATTTAATTTCAGCCAGATGCCTTTCCCTGTTTTCACATTTATTTTTAGCCACCACATGGCTGCAGGAGAAACTGAAAACGCGAGTTAGACACAGTTTTCATCGCATATGCAGTGAAAATAGTAACAGTTGGTGTATTTTCTGAAGATTAGTTTTTTTAGGAAAGCAATAAAAATGCACCGTGAACGGATATAGTTCAAATATGCTAATGGTACTACCTAAAGTATCTACAAGGAAGTGAGAAAGATAAAGATAAGCAATGCAGTCAGTAGCTAAATATTCTGTAGTATTTGGTTTAGCAGCTTTTATTTGGAAGACTTTAAAGGTGTTGTATCCAGAGTCAGCTGTCAATGAAACAGCAGGCGTGCAACACTTCTTAAACTACATTTCTATGAACTATTGTAATGACTGACCAAACTAGAAAATACTTAAACTCTCTCTTACACACACACACACACACACACACACACACGCACATGCACACGTACACGCGCACACCCTCTGACTTGAAGGGGAAGTAACAGGCTGCCTTTGGTCTTGTTTGCTTTGTCTTTTGTCTGAATTTGCTCCGAGGGCGCTGGTGGGCATGTGGGCAGGTGGATAAAAGCCAGTCAGTACAGCTGAGTGATCCCATCTGTACTGTGAGGACGGTGGAGATGACACACAAACTCAAACGGAAAGTCACTGTATGTGTCTGCACTTGACCCGGAGGGAGGCTTGCCTGTCTTGTAGTGGGAAATACAGGGAGAGCGTTCCTGATTATCCGCAATCTGCGTGTGAGGATGTTCCAGAGACCTTCCGTTTCCCACTAAAGTCATCTTCACACGTGAATGTCCACAATCACATGTAGAGGAACAGAAGAGGAAGTGTTTACGGGAAAGCTACACACGAAGACCTACTCACCGGAGACGTGGTTAATCGAAGGATGGTGCCATTTTTTATTTCATTGCGATTCTGCAAAAGAAAACAAAGTCTTTGTAAATCTTCCAACAGAAGCTTGGAAAGAAGAGAATAGAGGCGAATGTACTCTCCTGAAGACTATAGTAAGCATCCTTGTGATTCCGTTTATCCTCACTTGAAGAATTTTTCATTATTTCTACAAAGAACTAGTTCTTTAAGAACTTTAAACTGGCTCCCAGATGTGCTAATTTTACATCCAGTCATAGACAGCATTCGGCACAGAGGCAGTAAATAGGGGCCCAAGAATAGCCAACCAAAAAAAAAAAAAAGCAATTTTGAAAGGTTTTTAAGGGACTATGATCTAGTAATTCTACTAACACAGGGGTGGATAAAAGCAGGTTTACAGTTGAGAGTGTGCAAAACACAGAGCTAATAATGCTATTGTAATGATCATAACCTGCCGGTCCTTATCCATACCAACGGCTGTGAATCTACTTTTGCCCACCACACAAAAATTTGTACATGAATAGTTATAGAGACATTATTGGTAATACTCCAAAATGGAAACAGCCTGAATGTCCATGAACTGAAGGATGGATAAACAAAATGTGGCAGGCCCAGTCAATGGACTATGACTCGGCCATGATACGTGCTACAGCATGATAAACCTTGAAAACATTGCACTAAGTGAAAGAAGCCAACACAAAGCCCGCACGTTGTATGATGCCATTACGGTATATGAAACGTCCAGAATCGGTACATCCACAAGACCGGAAGCCCTGGTGGTTCCCACGGGTGGGGAGGGGAGGGGACATGAGGCGGAATGCTAACGGGACAGCAGTTCTTCTCTGAGCCATGAGAACCTTCCAAAACTGGTGGTGGTGATGGTTCCACAAATCTATGAATATACTAAAACCACTGAGTTGAACACTTCAGGAAGGCCCGTTTCGGGGGGTGCGGATTATGTGTCATTAAAGCTGCGAAGAGCAGACAGGAGCAGAGCCCATCAGTCAGTCTGGGCGGTGTGTTTGGGGGAGGCTATTTGAGGGAGTGTTCTGAGCTCTCCGTTAGCCTCTCGGAGAGTAGAATTTCACTGGCAGTTTTATTTGAGGCCAGTAATCAGCCTTCAGGAGACCTCCCGGGAGCCACACTTCACTGCGCCCACCAGGAGCGGCGAGGCCAGGAGGTTAACAAAGGGCTTTGAGGCTCCTTCTCCTGCTTCCTCTAAGACAGGCCGCACACTAGGATTTCCTCAGGATGCGGCAGGCACACCGAGGTGGTGGGAAATTTCTTGGGGTCTGATGCCAAAACCACGCAGAACACTCACTCTCCCTCAGGCTTCAGGCCAACACTTTCTCCCAAAGAAACCCTAAGCTGTGCATTTCCTACCGAGCACAGGAGGCCTGAGGGCCCAGCACTGCGGAACCAGACCCTCCTCGGGGAATGCCAGCCCGATAGATCGAGAGCATCCCCAGCCAGACCCCCGGGCCGTCCCTCGAGAAAGCAGCCTGCTCATCACGGGGAGTACGCAGGCCAGGGCTGAATGACCACCTGCGCCAGGCTCAGCGATGAGAAGGCGAAATAAATTTCAGTCATTTAAAAGGTCTCCTTTTGGAGATCAACCGAAGGACTTATATGCATGCATATGAGAATAACTAATGGGCACAAGACACTGGGGGGTGGGGGAAGCCGGGGGAATGTCAAGGGGGAGAAAAAAGGAGACATGTGCAATACTCTTTGTAATACTTTAAGAAATAAAAAAAAATAAAGGTCTCCTTTCAATCCTAAAATCCTGACTCTATGAGAATTGGGGAGGGAGAGAGCACATACTAATTCTAGAATATTAAAGGGACAAGTTTCATACCTCTTTCCTGCTCAATTTCTAAATGAATTGAGAAATAGAATCAGAAGATGAAATGCTAGAATATCCCATTTGTTACTAATTATGCAGAATGAGGCTCGGCGTGAGAACAGCAGACAGCTAACCAAACCCTCAGATTAGATGCCTACTGAGGTAAGACCTAAGGCACCTTCCTTCCCAAGAGGAAAAAGGGGCCCAGTTTATTCTCCTCAAATAATCAGTCCAGGAGGGAAAGACCCCAGGGTTGTGAAGAGGCCAGGAGGGTTTAGCAACAATCTCTCCTCATGGAAACTGGAGAGGGGACGAGGCATCCTAGTAACAGCAGTAAACTAGCCTTTGTTGAAAGGCACTGTGCTGAGGTTTCTTTTTTAGGGGTAATACCGATTTAACCATCATCCTAACTCTGTTCCCATTTTAAAGATAAGAAACCGAAACTGCCAAGAGTGAGAGGGTGAGTTACTTGCTCAACATCATGGAGGGGAAGGGAGGGGAGGGGAGAGGAGGGGAGGGGAGGGGAGGACCTGCCGGGAGGGGCTGGACTCAGTCTCCCTGGCAACGAGAGGAAGACCTAGAGCTTGCATTTATCCTCCGAGGGGTGAGTTCATCAACTGGTCAGCATCCATGAGAGCACAGACGTAAAAGTGGTTTTAGTTAATGCTCTGCAGACTCCGGGGGTCCCCGTGAGGCCCACGGATGCGGGGCGCTGGGTGGGAGTCTGGGGTGAAATAAAGCAGCGGGGCTCCAGGCCCCATGTTGACTCCTAACGTTCTGAGGTCCAAGTAGGGGTTCTTTGAAGAAAGGGTCCTGAGGACTGCTTGTGAGAAACCATAACAGTATTAAAACCATGGGCAGCCAGAGCTGGGTTCAAATCCCGCTGTGTGTACTAGTGCAAGCGACCTCATCACTCCGATCCAAGTCTCCGCTTCCCCGACACGGGAGGGCGAGTCATCGCGCAGAGAGTGCAGTGGGAACCAGAGGTGGCGGTGCTCCGTGCCCCCCGAGCAAAGGGCTGGAGAAGAGCCACCGCGGCTGCTACACAGAGAGCAGCACCAGCCCTTCCGCTGGGCTCTCAGTCGGCAGCTCATTAGCCTTCTCTCTCTTCCTTTCCCCTGAAAAAATGCTTTTTAATCAGTGTTGTTTTTAAAAATATATATTTTATTGATTTTTTACAGAGAGAAAGGGAGAGGGATAGAGAGTTAGAAACATCGATGAGCGAGAAACATCTATCAGCTGCCTCCTGCACACCCCCTACTGGGGATGTGCCCGCAGCCAAGGTACATGCCCTTGACCGGAATCGGACCTGGGACCCTTGAGTGCACAGGCCGAAGCTTTATCCACTGAGCCAAACCAGTTAGGGCTTAATCAGTGTTTTGTACTTTGGAATAAAAAATATAAGTGAAAGAACTATTAATACAGGTATTAAAAATTTAAAGGTCCCGCCCTGGCCAGGGTGGCTTAGTTGGTTGAGCATCATCCTGTGCACTAAAAGCTCACCAGTTTGACTCCTGGTCTAGGCACATGTCCGGGTTATGGGCTTGATCCCCAGTAGGGGGCATGCAGGAGGCAATCAATTGATCTCTCTCTCTCTCATATCAATGGTTCTCTCTCTCTGCCACTACCTTCCTCTCTCTCTAAAATCAATAAGAACATATTAAAAAACAAAACAAGCAAAAACTTTAAGGTCCCAACAGAAGGCCAGGCCAAATTCAGAGAGAAAAGCACTGGTGGCCGCCTGCCTGGGAGCCTGTGTCCCATCAGGGAGGTCCCGGGACCTCTCGCCGCGGGCTGAGGGCACCTGTGCACTGAGGAGTGCCGGCTTGGCATGGACACCCGGTGACGAAGGAAAAGGCTGCGCTTGCTCTGATTTCATGCATCTCCTGGGCAGAGGAGAGCATCGCTTTAGAGCAGGGTCTCCAGGCAGGACAGTCTGCAGTGGACCTCCTTCTACCTGCAGAATCTGGGGCCAGGGACACAGCTGTGTGCCCATTTCCGGGTGTGCAAACGGGGATAGTGCCTGTCTCCCGAGGGTGTTCCGAGGATTAAATGACATAATCCACCGGAAGTGCTTAGAACAGTGTCGGGCACACTGCCAGCGCCCCAAAAAGAGTTAGCTGTTCATTATTCAGCACAAAAATAACATCCCGAAAGCACATTGCTGTGTAGCTGGTTCTAGCGCGTCCCTATATATAATCTGATCAATAAAAAGAAGAGTGTGATCTATGTTCCCCTAAGCCTAAGACGACAGTCAGCAGCTGGGATCCAGAAGACAGGTCACTCGCAAACGTGTGCCTCTCCTCTCAGCAGAGCAGCATGTTGAGGAGGGTCTGAGGGCCTTTGTCGTTCTCAGGCCTGTGTGTGTGTTTCACAGGCAGTCAGTCCTTCAGTAAGCAGTAAGCACTGTGTGTGTGTGTGTGTGTGTGTGTGTGTGTCACAGGCAGTCCTTCAGTAAGCACTGTGTGTGTGTGTGTGAGTGATTTTGCTTATCTTATTCATTGACTATCTCCTTTCACCCTTAGCATGTCACCTCCATGAGAAGAGGTAGTTTATCGTGGCTATATTCCTCTTTTCTAGAACAGTGAGTTCCATGGCTGGCATATGAAAGTACTCAATAAATATATGTTGAATAAATGACTACACCTACTGCATGCCTGGCCATAGAGGAGACACTGAGGTAGATACAAACTTAAATAAGACTTAACTTCTGTCTGCCGGGAATTCAATAAAAGTGAGAGAGACTGATAGGTGATAATTACACCTAGACCAGGAAGGCGTCCTGGGCCCACACAGTGCGTGACCGGCACTGCACAAGCACGTGAGAGGGACGGGGAGGGGAAGGGGCGTCCAGCGAAGGCCTCCCGTGGAGGTGATCTTCAAGACCATCCTGTATCAGCAAGGATTTCCCGGGAGAGAAGAGGAAACAGCACATCTCAGGGACAAAACTTGCTCATGGAACGGAGATACGTCCTGAGTGATCTTGGAGGCTGGGACACACCAAGAAAGGAATGGCACCTGAAAGGGGGACTTGGTGAGAAAGGTGACGGGATTAAACAAGGCAGTAAAACTCCTAAACACAGACAACATCTGGTGACGACCAGCGGGGAAGGGGGTGGAGGGAAGTGGAAGAGGGTAAAGGGAGATAAATGGTGATGGAGGGAAACTTGACTTGGGTGGTGAACACACAATACAATATACA